TTTAGACGTTGCAAAATTTCCTTCGGTAAATCACGAATTTTCGGGAACATTTATAAATACTTTCCTTCCAATGTTTCAGATAATTTTGTACGCAATTTTACCTAAATTCCCTGAAAATTCCAAGGTAAAATATTCATTGATTTAATAAAAAAATAAACATTTCATCGAAGGAAATTTGGCAACTCTCGGATGTTCATACGGCGTTCTCCCTTGGCAAGGCAGAATAATAAACGTCAGCTTTACAGACAAATCGCGGTTCGTTCAGCCGTATTTTCTGTACTTCATAGGAAAATTGGAGGATTATTCAGCGTTTTTGAAACGTAGATCAATAGACTCACCGCCACAGATTTGTTTTTTCGATGGAGAAAGAAAAGAATCGGTGATGATTTAATAGCCTCTCAGACGGAGAATCACAGAAGGTACATAACATCTAACCGATGTAAAAAGGTTGTATTCAAAGGGGTGGGTGCAAAATCGACAAAATTTCCCCCCTCATGGATGTTGACCAAATTTCAGTATGTCATTCCTCACTATGGGATACGCCTTTTCCCAAAATTTCCCGGCCTGAAACGAATTTCTCTCCGCGTAGCAGCGTTGCCAAGTTGAAAACCGTCGAGTTCCATATCTTTTGAACGAAAAGAGATATTGAGATGCAGTTTGCGCTAAAATTCTCCAAAAATTGCGCTCTTTCGATATATGTACTCAATTTGATCGTTTAGGTAATTTAAGATTGCAATGATGCCATTTTTCACACTTTCTTGAGGGTCAATTTTTTTTCAACCCTAGTACATCATCAAATGCCGGATTCTCGATTCGAAAAAAAAACTGTTCATTGTATTATTCGTACTTTTCCATTTCTTTTGATATATTATAGCTCCCAGGGAAACGATTAGTAACGGAGATATGAGCAATCTAAGTTTGCGCTCCGCGCGCGCCGACCGGAATCCGGGCGCCGCTCGCCGCTCTGAGTCGTCTGCACACTCCCTCTCTTAAGCTTCACGAGGTCATTCCTATGTATTTTTTTGCGTACTTTCCATTTCTGGCCTTTGAAAAAAGCTCCGATGCATTTTTAGGGGCCTCGCGGTCCATTGTTGCCATTTTTTGCTCGTATTTAGGGTTTTTTCCCTATTTTACTCACAATTCTACTGAAAAACTTAATTTAAACGGAAAACTGTGTGCGTTGAGGGAAAGAACGTAAAGAAGAAATAAAAATTCATGTAAAAATTTTTCCTTCGTTGCCAAATTTGCGAGAAAAATCGTACTAAAGAGCCAAATATTTGAAAAATTGGATAAATCCCCACACCATGGTTTATGAAAGTGGGGCATAGCTTTCATATTGACGTACTTACGTAACAGATCTTACCTATCTATACAACATATTAAAAAAGCATTGTTGTATTTGGATTCCCACGATCTGAAAATTGTCCGGGATGTCACCTTTTGCGGTCTTTTCTTATGTGTAAGGTAGATCTTTTGAATGTTTTTCGACCTTTAGTCATCCTCCGTAGGGGTGTATCGTATGTATTTTTGCTGTAATTTTCATTTTTGAAAAGAACGTAAAAAAGTACATCATTAACGTTCATAAGGACTTATTCTTACGTTGCCAAATTTTCAAGAAAAATCGTCCTAAAGTGTCAAAATTGGATTAATTATGACGAAGATGTCTCTAGGAAAGTGAATTATGACTTCGACTTAATTTTAGAATTATAATTTTAAGTATGACTTAATGCTACGGGCCACTTCCCCAAGATGAGAGGCAGAGAGGCTGCATGAGAAGAGAAGCCCACAATTGAGGAGCATTCCGGAAAAAGGGCACATACGCGTATGTGCCCTCTATCGGAGGTGACAGAAATGGATTCCTTGCATCCTAATGTACCAATGCCCCGAGTTTCAGCTTAATTGATCAATTTTTGGAGCTACGAGACCACGTTTTTTGAGGCTAAGATAAGTCAGGGGTCACAGACGTATTTCATCTATTTGCTTTCTGGGTACTTTCGCCGCGACGTTTAGGAGATAGTGCGCGGGCAGGCAGGGAGGTGATGGGTATACTGATAAGGATCCCTCACTACAGATGCACCGCACTGATTCTGCTAATCAATGCAATAGCATCGGGTTGCAGGGATTGTAGGGATTCTCTACGCGTTGCACCAGTCACACGTGAATTTTTTTAATTATTAATGATTTATTTTTTATGGTCTCGTGTGAGATTGAATTTTTCGATTTTTTCGCGTGTTTCGCAGTCTTTTTCATTATGAATGATCGAAGATGATCCACCTGCGCGTTCTCAATCGAAATTATTATTTATTAGTCAATCGGAATTATTTACTCTTGTTTAGAAACTCGTTGAAGTCTCGAAAATTCAGCTTCAAAAGCCAAAACCTATGACCACTGGTCCATTTCCAGGAAAAGGGCACATAACGAATAATTTTAAAAAATTCTTCCCACAACACTGGAAGAAGTGTAAGTTTTACCAATGGCCGTTATTCATTCTGGAGTGTATGAACGTTGATATGGGTGCCCCAGTTCCGATGTATGTCATCATCAGTGGCCAGCAAGTAAGAATGAAAACTTCAAATGCGTTTTTCTCACAACACGTTTTTTCGGTATGTGCCCTTTTTCCGGAAAAGCTCTTCAATTCTGCATGAAAGTCATTATTCATTTCCTAAAACCTTCTACGTTCTACGACATATGGTTACGATACACCCCTACGGAGGATGACTAAATGTCGAAAAACATTCAAAAGATCTACCTTACACAGAAGAAAAGACCGCAAAAGGTGACATCCCGGACAATTTTCAGATCGTGGGAATCCAAATACAACAATGCTTTTTTAATATGTTGTATAGATAGGTAAGATCTGTTACGTAAGTACGTCAATATGAAAGCTATGCCCCACTTTCATAAACTATGGTGTGGGGATTTATCCAATTTTTCAAATATTTGGCTCTTTAGTACGATTTTTCTCGCAAATTTGGCAACGAAGGAAAAATTTTTACATGAATTTTTATTTCTTCTTTACGTTCTTTCCCTCAACGCACACAGTTTTCCGTTTAAATTAAGTTTTTCAGTAGAATTGTGAGTAAAATAGGGAAAAAACCCTAAATACGAGCAAAAAATGGCAACAATGGACCGCGAGGCCCCTAAAAATGCATCGGAGCTTTTTTCAAAGGCCAGAAATGGAAAGTACGCAAAAAAATACATAGGAATGACCTCGTGAAGCTTAAGAGAGGGAGTGTGCAGACGACTCAGAGCGGCGAGCGGCGCCCGGATTCCGGTCGGCGCGCGCGGAGCGCAAACTTAGATTGCTCATATCTCCGTTACTAATCGTTTCCCTGGGAGCTATAATATATCAAAAGAAATGGAAAAGTACGAATAATACAATGAACAGTTTTTTTTTCGAATCGAGAATCCGGCATTTGATGATGTACTAGGGTTGAAAAAAAATTGACCCTCAAGAAAGTGTGAAAAATGGCATCATTGCAATCTTAAATTACCTAAACGATCAAATTGAGTACATATATCGAAAGAGCGCAATTTTTGGAGAATTTTAGCGCAAACTGCATCTCAATATCTCTTTTCGTTCAAAAGATATGGAACTCGACGGTTTTCAACTTGGCAACGCTGCTACGCGGAGAGAAATTCGTTTCAGGCCGGGAAATTTTGGGAAAAGGCGTATCCCATAGTGAGGAATGACATACTGAAATTTGGTCAACATCCATGAGGGGGGAAATTTTGTCGATTTTGCACCCACCCCTTTGCAAGTAACGGAGATTTACATATGCATTCCGTTAATACTGAGAAGTTAAGGAAGAACGCCGTACGAGCCTTCAGACGTTGCCAAATTTCCCTCGATAAAACTCGAATGTGCTGGGAAAATTGTAAATATTTTCCCTTAAAATTTTCAAACAATACTCTATGCAATTTAATCTAAAATATCTGAAAATTTCAAGAAAATATATGCTTAAATTGCGTCAAAAATACACGTTTTATCAAGCGGAATTTGGCAAATTTCATATACGACCCATCCGTGGCATATCGACGGTGTAAGTCCCCAACCACGTAGTCCTCTGCGGCTGGGAAGGTCGAATTTTGCTTGAAATCGCGCTTTTCCTACGCAATCTGCAGTAATTACCAACGGTTATTAGCGCCTACAAGACTGCAGGAATACTTCACGCATTGCGCCGAGCACTGTGCGATCGCCGCTCCGCGCCGGATCGGCGCGGAAACATGTTAGCGCCTACAAGGCTGCATGAATACTTCACGCATTGCACCAAACACAGAGCGGTCGCTGCTCGCTGGTCTGCGTGAGACATATATCGACGGTGTAAACTCGGTTTGCGACGTCGCAGACTTCCTGTCAAACTGTATGTTTTAAACGGAAAACTACTCGACGGCAATTCTTTCGAACTGCCGTGATTTTCCTTCTCTGTGCGAGGAAAAGTCTGCATAAACCTCGTCGAGGAATGATGTCAATTTGTTCTCCTCTAAAAAAATAACATAGAGCCGGAGATTTTCTAACACCGCAAACGAGATACATGCGGTTGTGGACTTACACCGTCAGTATGGCGTTTGGGTATTCTGCCGTGCTAAGGAAAAACGCCGTAAGAGCCATTAAATGTTGCCAAGTCTCCTTCGATAAAAACCAAATTTACTGGGCAAATTGTGAGACATTTTTCCAAAATTTTCAGACAATTCTGTACGCAGTTTAATCTAAAAAATCTGAAAATATCAAGGAGAAATATGCGCAACTTTCTTTAAAAACATATGTTTTATTCGGGGAAATTTAGCAACTCTCGAATGTTCATACGGTTTTCTCCCTTAGCACAGCAGCATACCGCAGCGGTTGTTGCTTTGGTTGGTTGTGGTTTCTCTCGTATTAGTTTCATGTGCTTACCTTTTTTAATCTCGCTAATCTGCTCATGACCCATTTTCAAGTAAACCATTATTTCTGTTTCCGTGGATTGATTTTGATGGTGAATTTATTTATGTTTCACTTCCAGGGGACGTAAGAACTTTAACCGCGGAGAAGAATCCTGTAACAATGAAAGACACAAAATGGTATACGCATAACTGTGTTATTGGATTCATGGTCGCAGGTTTGTAAAAAATATATTTCAAAGTATAGAGTAGACCCTTTAAACATTTGAAAAATTAAAGAAAGCAGTTCCGTACGTCTTTCTTTAAATAGACGTTTAGGTTCAGTTTCTCATGGTTTTCATTCACGATTCAATTTAAAACAAGAAAAAGAGTAAAAAATAGATTAACATACAAGTAAATAAATTCAGTTTCGGTGATCAAGAATCAAGATCAGAATCATAGCCTTTGACCAAAAAAAATTGACTTTTTTGTTCATGTTAGGCAAGATTGAAGTATGTGCACCGCATGCTTGCGTGAAGACAAATTTAGAATTAGTAGTTGGCAGAAAATGATTCCAATTTGTGTATAAAATCAGGAAATACTGTTTTTTGCAGAATATTGCGGATTAATTGCTTTCTCTTATTTCTTGTTTTTTCTACAAATAAGATGAATTTCGCTGTTGTAAAGGAATCGATTAGATCATTTAGATTGGACTAATCAAATTTTTAAGAAACTCGATTTTGAGAATTTATTGCTCTCTTCGGTGACAAAACTAATTTTGAAAGTACCAATCAGATCCGTCGAATGACGACTAATGACCAAAGAGATAAAAAATAGTCTAGCAGCAAGCCTTTTGCAAGAACTCGCCTACCATTCTGCTATTCCCGAAATTTCACTAGTCATAATTTGGCAAATTCAATGCTTAACAAGAAGTTCATCAATAATCATTTGGCAAGGAGTGGCATTGACATGCGAATTTAATTTTCACCTCACCCAATTACATTGCCTGTGGCTCGATCGTTGAATCGATATATAATGACTTTGATCGAGCTAAAGAATTGTTAAGATAGGTAGTTATCGATCAAGGTCATTCGATAACGATTCGACAATTGACCCGCTGGATTGTTAGTGTGGGTAGGGTCTTTAAAATACATCATTTCTAGAGACAACAGGTTAATTTGGTATTGAGTTCTTGAAACAATAATTGCTTCTCTGTTTGCTCCAGGAATATGGAACAATCGCTACTACCCGATGACGTCACTCATCTCAACAGTGAACAGGTCGGCGGCCCATGACCTCCTCGCCACGGGCGACACGGACGGATACCTCCGATTGTTCCGGTAAGTGTCGTGTCAAACTCATCCTTTCGATTAGTTTTGACCGGTTGTCACGACAAACACAATCATCGGAACACCGATTAGTTGCCTTTGAACGGTCGGGCACTTCTGAGAACTACTATTTATCGAGGACTACTCGAAGAGTTCTCGTCAAAAGTAGCAAAGTGGATCACTCCATGCTCCGTGCTCTGCCGTTCGCAGCTAACACGCAAACCGTATCTGCCGTACAACGCAAAAACGCCGTAAACGCCATTTTACACTTTTTTGGAAACAATGTATCACAGCAAAAAAATTTTGTGTACCTTGGGACAATGTTATTACAGAATTCTTTCGAAAAAACTATCAAAAACTTAACCTGAAAATTCGAGGTGCATGGGTAAAACAGTTTTCATTTTATAAAGTGTTAAGTTCCAAAAATGGAGGGCAAATCTTGATGGGTTTACGGCGTTATTGCTTAGCACGGCAGGTATCTCAATTTTTTCGAATTCAGCAGTTTTCTCACAAAATGCTCTTTCATAAGAAAACCAAGAGATTTTCACCTTCCAGATTTTTTAAACGAAGTGGTCATTCGGCGGTATGGTACCGTCGAATAAAACGTTATTCGGCGGTACGGCACCGTCGGATTAAACATTATTCGGCGGTACAATACCATCGAATAAAACGTTATTCGGCGGTACAGTATCGTTGCGAATAAAACGTTATTTGGCGGTACAGTACCCTGACTAGAAAATCTTCCAAGTATCGCTAAGGTGCATTTACCGGATAACTTTATGAACCAGAACTCTAAGCCAGAACTCAGCATACGTTCTGGAATGAAATACGCTCAAGGGCGAACGGTGAAATATACATTTGACCATTGCATGATTCATTGTAATGCCCGATTACATTATCGGTCCTCGGTATGAACAACTGTAATGACTCCCAATTGGTCTTTTCTTGCAGGTATCCTTGCCTGAGTCCGAAAGCGGAATATAACGAAGAGAAGGTATACAGCGGTTCTGTGACATCAGCCAGGTTTCTGTACAACGACCGAAACGTGGCTACGGTCGGCGGCACCGACGCCTCGCTCATGCTCTGGGAAGTCGTCGATGACTAAACGAAACACTAGTCGTCGTTCGCCTGCAAAAGACAGGGACGCAACACGTAACACGAGTCATCGTTCGCCTGCAGGAGTCAGTGGCACAACGTGCAACACACAATTCTAATTACTTCCGGATCAGAGAAAAATACAACTTCCAAGAAGTGTCGTCGTTCGCCTGCAAAAGACAGGGACGCAACACGCAACACGAGTCGTCGATCGCCTGTAGACGCCAGTGAAACAACGTGCAACACACAACCTCGAAGAGTCGTCGTTCTCCTGTAAACGTCAGGGACGCAACACGTAGTAGCGACTCGATTCAACTCGAAGGAAAGACAAGCGATGGTGATGGCTGGTGAAAGTTTTGCGGTCATTTGAGTGTCATTTGATGAAACAGCCAACCACGACGAGATGATATTTTTCACTTTCATTAAGGCATAATACGACACAGCGCAACCAACCAAAATTTTCAGCACGTAAGCCCTAAAAATGGTTAGGATTTTTTTTTTTTTTAAATTTAAAAAAATAGTTTTGGATTTAAAGACAATTTTATTTATTTTTTAAACTGAAGATGACTTTCATTTCTGAGGAAACATTTGTTTTAATTCAAATGAAGTTTGTCTCCAGGTAATTCTTGGAAAATTAGATTTGATATCAAAGAAGAAGTTACATTACATATTCTGAACCACGTGTTTTCCTCAAGATCAAAGGCTGTTTTTTCTTTTGAATGGAAAACACGCTTTTAAATGATGCAAATAAAATGGGCATATGAAGAGAGAGCATTTGTAAAAAACGATTATTTTTCAAAAACTACGCTGCTCTAAAATAAAATAACGCGGTAAAGCTACAGCATTACTAAAACGCATGATAGAATCGAAAAATTGAAGGCCTCATTTTTTCTGATGCATGCACAATGAGATTATTGCAATCATGCATCAAAAATAATTGTGAACAATTTTTAAAAGTGGTATATTTCGAATCAATCACTTTCTCTGCACTAAACGGTTGTATAACACTATCCCCAGCATAACTGTAGAGTGATCATTTAAAAAACAGAGAATAAGAAAAATTTAAACCAAAATTGTTACCAAAAGGTTAGTCGATCAATTTCAACAGCACAGGGGTGGCTAAAATCTAAAACACGAGTTTGTTCTTCTGTCTGCGCCATGCAAGTAAAGTGTACTTTTAACGAAAATTGACCGATTTTAAACTTCTCGGTACCCTTTTTAGCTTACTTTTCCCATTCATATTACTTTTGAGCCACTTGCATACGGAATTTAGGCGCGGAATTACTAGGGTGCATATCTCTACTGAAACAGAGTGATGAATTCTCAAGAGACTGTCGACAACGAAACAACCATTCACTTGCCCTTACACATTTTTGCCTCTCATGTATTGCCTATAACCACGGGAAAGCATTTGAAAATTGCTATCTTCAATTTGAAGATTTTTGGAACCCACTCTTAGTTCTTGTTTTTTTGTTTTTTTTTCCTACTCGTGTATCTCTAATGAGTTTGGTGGTTATCTCTTCCATTTCCTTCATGTGCGCGTCGCGGCTCGTGATAAAATTGCTCCATGTAAGCAGGCTTAAAAGATAATCTGGAAATTCTGAATATTATATCTCTGAGAGGCTGTTCCAGAATATTATCACTCTTGGAGGTTTTATCTACGAATTGTTAAAAAATTACGCGACGATAAAGAAGTAACTTTCATAGCACATGCAATTAATTCTGAGGATAAACACTGTGAACAGCCTACAAAATGAGAAAGGTCTCAATGCATGGAAGTCCTTGATTTTAGCTATGTTTACTCGTTTTTCATTAAAATTGAAAATAATCAGAAAAGCAGTGTGGTCGTGGAATTGACGAAATAAGAAATCTGTGTTGTCAGAAAAAATACAAAGAAGTTTGATGTATTGCCTACTTCATCCTCGTAAGTAAAATTCACAAGAATGTAAAAATTAATAACCTCGATTAAACCTCTTTCACAAGTATTTTGGAAGTAATCTAGACACTTTGAAAGTTACGTTGTGTATCACAATAAAAAACTTTCATTTAACTTCGAAAGAGAGGCTCTTTCTCATTGAATTGACGATCTAAAAACACAAGGTGCAAAACCTATTGGTTAAGCCAAAAAGTTACGAATCCATATTATTATAATTTTTATAAAAGAATGAGCTTGACTTTTTTATTTGCTTAAAGTAACAATTTATTGCGTTCAGAGCCAAACGTCTCATTTTGAGAGAATTATACAGAAGTAAGAACAATGTAGGGAAAAACAAATTACTGCCAAGTTTAAAAGAATATGGATCTGATGTATCCTTTAATCTATTTGAAATTAATCAGAACCCTTCAGTTGAACGCAAGTCTAGGATTTGAAATATGCCAATAACACAATCTTCCGCCAGAGGGCGGAAAGGGCACCTGCTTTGTGAATTGCATGTTTTGAGCTGCGCATAAATTTTGCATGATACTGAATTGTGAAATGTTTGGTTAATTTTTGAGAGTTTATTGCAAAGAATCAGAGTTTATTTATAATGTTACGTAATGATCTGCCTTTACTGTAATAATTCGAATAAAGCTACGCGTACAAATTAAATATCCAAATCGTATTTTCATTTGCCCACCTTTCATATTTAGATTTTTTAAACAGGTAAATCTTAAAACTTGAAAGAGAAACTTGAACGTGGTTTGAAAGAGAGCAGTGGAGGTTAGGAGTCGTAGAGCGCGAGGGAGTGCTGTAAAGCGACTTTTATGTATGTATGTAAATCTTAAAACTTAAGGTAAATTCCTGGTCTCCGACGTAGACAGCCTAGAGAGTTTTTGATAATTGATAAAACTGTCTTTCGAGTCAACAAGGAGGCCGCAATGTAGAATGACGAGGAGGGACTGGAATCAACGTGCGGCGATATCTATTACGGTGTGGCGTGCACATCGCTCTAAAACTGTAGTTTTTACTCCAGAGTATCTAACATTGAATGATAGACGCACACAGCAAAAAGATTTCTAAATCGATAACAGCTATCAGCTCCAATCGATTTTTTTCCTCACATTTTTTCTCCTCACATAGCGGGGTCTAAAGTATCTAACACTGAACAGTAAACGCACACACTAAAAAAATGTCTAATGAACTTTCCAAATCTTTTGTGGTTGTCAGTAGGTACGTAAAATTTCGAAATTATCAAGATTTTATGCGCACGTGGTCGCAAGTGACTAGTCCAAACAGCTATTAATTATTGATAATTTCGAAATTTTACGTACCTTCTGACGACCCCAAAAAATGTGGAAAGTTTATCAGGGTGTCCAGTATTTTTAAATTTTGAAAAATCCTGATATTTTCCTGATTCTTCCTGATATTTTATAAAAAAATCCTGATTTTTTCATTTTGAAAATTCTTGATATTTTCCTGATTTTTCTCGACTCCTGGCACGGTGGGCAAAAAGCAGTAAGACTTTCTCCGCTGAGGAGATTCGCGTAAGAAAAATTTCTGATAAAACGTCCGATTTTTGCTGATATTTTCCTGATCGGCCAAAATTCCTGATATTTTCCGGTTTCTCCGGTTTTTCCTGATGCAAGACACCCTGTTCATTAAAAACATTTCTAAACCGATAACAACTATTAGCTCAAATCGTTTTTCCCCCGCATTTTTTCTCCTCATACAGCTTCGTCGTTTCGGAACCAGCAGATCCTACAAAAAATTTCACGAAAATTCTGACCGCATACGAGAACACCAGCCTCCAAAGTGAAGAGGCGTCCGTCTCCCGGGGCGCCGACGCGTGTCTCGAGACGCCGCGGCGGCACTCGACGTCGGCGTCGCGACGCTCGGAGCGGACGCCAGTGCGTCAGTCCCACGTCCGTAGTCCGAGTGTCCGACACGCCGACTGCCCAACCCGAGCCTACCCGCGCCACCGCGAGAGTTTTCCCGCGGAATCCGCGACGCGCTGCCAACGCACCTTCGCCCGTCGAGAGTTCCTCTAGCGCCGTTTGACCGTTAGTGCCGTTGGACCCCTCTCACGCAAAGTCTCGGATAGCTTTTATCTGATTATTGACTTTCCGTTTTGAAAAGTGGTGAACTTTATCTGGAGTAGTTGTAATTTTGAACTTCAGTGAAATTGCCGGTGCTGATAGAGTGTATACATTTTTACACACTTCTCCCGTGAGTTAACCGGGTGTGTTTTTTTTTGGTAAGTTCGTCATGTCATTACTGTTTTGAGCTCCTCCCAGGGTGGCATGAAACGTCAGAAATAAATGAAAATTTGAAAATTTCAGTGGAATATTTCATGTTTCACGAGGCTGTGAAGTGTTTCATATTTTACAGGGGCTAGAGTATGCAACCCGCTCTCAAACATGCAAAAATAGTAGAAATTCACAATTTTTACATTTTGCAAAACATGAAAAGGAACTGGTATCACTATCTTTCATAAGTTTCTGAAATTTCAAGAAATATTTCACGTGAAATTTTTAAGATTATATTTTTCATGAAATTTTGCCACCCTGGCTCTTCCCCCTTGAAAGTTCATTCAAGGCGCCGAGGATCAAAAGCTGCAATCTCTATTTCACTCTCTAAAAAATTGGCAATCGTTACAATTTAATACGAAGAAGACTGGTGAGAGCCTCAGTTTGCGCGCTCTATAAATAATTTGCTATAGGTACATTAGCGAGGAAATTTTGACAGTATTGTACGCAAGAACTTATATTGGTTGTTTTTTTTTGGGGGGGGGGGGCGAATTATAATATCAGCTACATCTTCAGCATAATGTAAACCGAGGATTCTTTGATCCTCGGTTCCTGATTTGCAGTCACATTCATGGTGAAACTACCAAACCATGAATCTCGATTGTGGGGTTTCGCCAATTTCCGTTCAATTTTTTTCCCCTCAAAATAATATTGCTCGATATTTTTGTCAAAATCTTCCACGGAGATTCTTGAGTAAACGGAAAAAAATCAAGATTTACAACATCACGACCAGAGATAAGTGGTTTGGTGACTTCACATGTAGTGTCTTGGTTTAAGTGGTTTGTGACCGTTCAGTGGCAAGTTGAACATGCAATAAGCTGAGTCTAAGATCATTTACTTAGCGTAGTCTGTATCAATAATTTTCAAACTTTAGTACTTTCAGTGGTTTGATTTCTGACATAGCATGATCGCAGCGCAAATTTTTTACCAGGACAATACATTTAACTGTCCAGGGGGGATGGAAACTTAAATTAGTCCACAAAGAAACCGACTTAAGTCAATAATACCACAGTCATAATTTGGATGCTCCCTAAGCATTATGGGACGCGAAAAAAAAACCCTCAAAAATATCCATTAAAACTGGAATATTAATGAATTGAAGTTTCTGGTGCAGACATGTAATTTTGAGAAATATCTGTACGTAAAAATTTGAGCCACCATTTGCAGGGTGCGGAATTTCTGGATTGTAAGGTGACTTAATAAATGCTATTGGCAATAAAATGAATTAAGCCGTTCTTCATACTTTGGGACAAAGAGAAATCATTTCTCGTCGATATCCTGAAATCCGATTTTTCGATAGAACTCGATAAAAATAAATTTACTGAACATGATAATTTGCAAAGACATTTTCTCCCCCAATGAATTGGCACATGCCTTCTTTAACGCTTCAGAGCCTTACATTTTTTTATCTCCAGCAAAACTTGTATATTATCAGATAAAAAAGACACTCTGTACTCTCTACGCTTATGTCCGTAAAGATGTGACTTTTGAGAGCTTTTGCTCCCTAAGACTCCTAAGAGTCCCAGTATCAAAGTCTGCCTAGGATGAAGTTCTTGTTCAATTAGATTAGAATTAGTGAGATAAATTTAAGTATTTTCTGAATAGCTTTTTTGTCTGATAACTTCGACTATAAGAATGTTCAAAGATACCATTTATCTTTGTGTAAGAAACTTGAAAAGATGAGACCATCGACTAATCAAATAATATTTAATACTTAGATACATTATTAATAAGATATAATCAATAGCGTGTATTTTTTTGGCCCTAGCTCATTTATAGGTATCAAATACCTGAAAAATGATATTTAAATCTATCTAAGAGAGATAGCGCTCGGTAATTCGCATAAAATGTTCAGGGGAGCTGAGGAAATAAGATCAATAATCGCTTATTTTCTCGAGAGTTATTATTATAAAATCCGGAAAGTTCCGAACCATCAACGGACCTCAATACGAGCAAGAATATCTAGTTGCGAAAGGGATATGATGAGAATAGAGAGGCTGCTTCTCAGAACTTATGCGTAGGATTTGTGATACCACTAAACCAGCTCAGTGGAACCCGTTGTGCCTACCCTCCATTTTGAAGGCGAATATGAATGAAGCTGTTTTATTTCTAATAATTTTACGACAAAAATAACCACCGGTGTTTTTTTCGCATCGTGTGTATAAAATAAACTCTTAATGAGAGAGAAAAGAGTGCAGAGCTCCAGAGACGCATCTTGTTAATTATTCGAGCGCACCTATTTTGAAATCAAGAACGCAGTCATGCGTATCGCTATTAAGCTCCGAGAGCTTTATTAAGAACTTTATTCTCAACGAAACGGATGAAAATAGTGGTGCATATTACTGCAGACTTCATTAAGCAAAGTAAGGTCGTGTCTTCTCCCTGAAAGTGCATGTGCCGCGTATTTTCATTCATTGCATTCGGACGATAACACGCGTTTTTGTTTTCAACATCTTTGAATATTTTTAGAATATAAAACCAGCCTTTTGAATTCATTAAGTTCTGGTGACGCAAAACTAGCAAGGAGTCCATGGGCGGAACTGGGAATTTTTTGCCGGGATGCATATGGTTGATAGGTTTCAGAAAGCGTATGCCAACTCTCACGCGATGAAATACATCAGGGGCACCGTTACCAACCCTTTCTTTCTGGGTCAGCTTCAATTATGGGTTTCTTCAGATGAACAAGTTTAAACGACCTAAAATTAGCCCTACAGTTTTTAACTTAATTTTGTATCAAATACCTCATAATTATTTCATTTATTCCTTCAAAACGTAAGTAACGGTATTGTGCATATTTATTAGGTATCTTGTTTGTTTACTTACGGCCGTGAGAGCAGCATATCAACCTATTTTTTGCGACCAATAAAAAAGCGGCACACAGATGGCTATCCTCTTTTCAAATAGGTACTTTAAATCGTAGTTTTCCGGACGAAGAAACGTAACACCATTTCAAGGTTGCAAAGACCCTAATAATTCAGTGTTTCACAAACTATACCTGAGCAATTTTTGTCCAAATTTGTCTGATTTTTGCATAAGATCAGATGAAAAATCAGTGCAATTTTTAGGTGGAATTGCCCGAGAATCTATAGTTAAAATTGCAATTTTCGGGGATAAATTCGGCAATATTAAAATGTACGTTTCTTTGTGGGAGAAATGACAAAACGTCCCCAGGTATCGTCCTTGGCAAAAAGTAATACAAAGTAAAGCTTTTTGATTTGTTGACTTTTCACTGCAAGAATTAGCGAAAATTGAACTTTTTTTTCACGCAAATGTCTTTTCGCAGCTCATAAACCATCGGCAGATCTAGCAAATTTACAACATTGTATTTTCTCCATTTAACCCTATGGGAATGTATCCATTCTTGGAGGGGGCAGATGTCCCGATAAGTATCGATCATATGGCATAGGTTTAAATGGAGGGAATCCGGTGTTGCCAATTGCTGGATCCGACTCTGTCATTAAGGCGGATCAAGTAACGTTGATCTTGAAATAAAATATCAAAGGCATTATGAAGAGATCATCCTTCATCAAGTTCTGGAGGCTGACATGGCAGCTGTCATCGCGAAAGTACAGGGTGGGAGGGGGGTGGGGAGAGGAAGAACACTGCCGTGCTAAGAAAAAACGCCGTATGAACATTCGAGAGTTGCCAAATTTCCCTTGATAAAACATGTATTTTAGACGGCATTCATGCATCTTATTCCTTGAAATTTTCAGATATTTTAGATTAAAGTGCGTACAAAATTGTCCGAACATACTGGAAAAATATATTCAAAATTTTACCAGTAAATTCGGTTTTTATCGAGGGACACTTGGCAACATTTAATGGCTCATACGGCGTTCTTCCTTAGCACGGCAGAGCAGCGAAGAGAAAACGTTTGAAGGCGGGAGCGGGCGCATACCTGTGCCAAGATCACGTAATATTTGTGTGCTCGCTGGATTCCTCTTGAATATCTCGTGATTTATTTCGCAATCCAGTCTCCGAATTTCACTGCCCCGACGGCGCGTTTTTTCGACTTGTTTACTTTTCTTGTGGACGTTCAACTCTTGTCTCCTCGATCCCACTTTAATGGTCCCAGTCAATTGGTTTATGATACTTTTTAAAACACACAGATGGACAGTAAAAACAGCGTTCAGCAAAGAGAATTCCAGTGATCTATAAAAAAAAGTGAGTTAAGTCCATACCGTTAGAAAAAATGGGATATCTTGTTGACTCAACGAGAATTCTCATTCAGAAATTATTTTTTGGAGATGTTATCGATCTAATTGAAACAAACGGGAAAGTTCTAATACTGTCGTATTAGAAAAGCGCTCAGGTGTTAGTCAATGTATTTAGTGAAGAAAGGAAGTATAAACTCCGTCAACTTGGCTGGGTAATGGAAATAAAACATCAGCTGATAGCGAACAAAGGTTACCAAGGAAACCGTAAACGCGTTTTTTCGTTTCCCGAAAATGATAGTCACCGTTGAGCTCATCAGGCGCGTTTTTTTTAGGCTTCATTTGAGTTCAACGATCAATTTCGATAAGAATTACTCTACCGCTAAGAAATTTTCTTATAGACAAACGATCGAAACTACCTGCGCATTACCTTAAAAGCGTAAAATACGGTTTTCACAGCTTTATTTATTTTAAAACTGGACCTCCCCCCCCCAAAAAAAAAGCCTACACATCGATGAGCTGGTGCGCCATTTAAACGAATTAGCACTAGTATACTAGTACTCTAGAGGCAAGTCGAAATCAAAAAGCGCTGCCTATCGGCTGAGCGCTTAAAATTTTCTCCATGTGCACTTTTAGGGTATAATAAAAGCAGAGAGTCGTCTGCGCAAAAGGGTGCCATCGAGACTTGACAAAAGAAGAGAATAAAAACATCATTTACGTTAGAAATATAGTTGCAAAATGACGATGTTGCGACCAGATTTACACTGAGGCAAAAATGCAAAATGCGAATTTTC